CTTCTCCCTCTCCCACTCCCCCTGCTTGTGTTCCCTCTCTCGCTGTGTCTCTCTCTTTCAAATAAATAAATAAAATCTTAAAAAAAAAAAAAAAATCACCTTTGCTGTTCCTTTATCCATGTACACTTTATCTAATTCATAAAAGTTCTAACATTCAGAAAAGTATCACACTTTCTCCTTCTGCACTGAGTATCAAAAATAAGGATTTCTGAAACGTACTTATTGTGATGAACACCAGGTGATTAAAATAATAAAAAATAAGAAAAATGAGAAAAAAAATAAGGATTTTTTTTTTTTTTTTATTGTGTAAAAACTAAATTAATTTATTTGACAGAGAGAGACACAGCGAGAGAGGGAAAGCATCTTGAGAGCAATGAGCATCATCTAAGAGTTTTTTTTGGTTAGAAGATAAAACAACAACAGAAACAAACACTCTAAACAATCAATTAAGAAGAACCACCACAGGTGCATTGTGAAGCTGGAACCAGTAGGGTACCATGACCACTTGGGAACCAGCCACGGGCTGGAAGGCGTGTAATGCCCCAGTCCTATGTTCTCTGTTCCTTCTGGGCACTTGCCCACGGGAACTGCGTGGCTGTGTGACCCCCCTCTCCCTGCCACCCCCTTTCTTCCTTGTTCCCCGCAGGCCTCATCATCTGCAAGACTCAAGCTTCTCTTCAATAACATTTTCTTCAATTATTTCAACATTTCCATGGTTTCTGTTCTTTCGTTTTGGTGAAACTGGATCTTGGATTGATCCTCTGTATCTCATTTTCCACGTCTTTTGTCTTCTGGCTCTACATTCTGGCCAACAGTAGGTACCCAACAAATGCTTGCTCAATGAATGAACTACGAATAAAGGATATTAGCTGAAAATATTGTGGCTCAGAGCTGTCCAAAGTTATATTAAAACTGCTTCAAAAGGGAACCAGAGCTATTCCAAGCAGAAGCGAGATTCTCCTTGGGAAGGATCTGTTGGGAACAGTCAGGCATCCTTAAGACTATATAATCCCAATTCTGGGAAAGCCATTTTAACCGTGGGGGGCCGTAAGCAGCACATTTCAACATAAGAGACTACACACATGTGACAGCAGGTAAAAACCAGCTACACAAGGACTCTGCTCTAACTCAGCAGCAGCATGGTTCCCTCAAGACTCGGCCCTCACAGCAACATCCAAGTCATACCGCCGACCGCCTACTGACCTCATCGACAATGACACAACTGAAGGGGACACCCCCTTGCCCACGAAAAGCAGACTCAAGCAGTAAACCACCACTTGTGCTCAATGTGCAGCAGATGACATGAGACTCTAAGATGATGATGCTCTGTGTTTTTTGTGGGCGTCCTTGAACCTAAGACAACAAATAAAGATGCATCAATATTTCGCTGTATATAAATTGATTATGGTAGGCCTATTTTTTACTGTAAAACAGCCACCATTTATTATGTGATAAACATATTTGGTGAACGCTGAGAGGGAACCTCAAATCTAGAAAACGGCAGAAACGTTTAAGATAATCAGAAACCACCAGAGAGAACACTGTGCACTGCAGTGCAGTCTAAGCTCAGAACAGGATTTAAGCACATTAGGAAAAATTTATTCAGGCTTGATTTGGTCAAAGCAAATTACAATTCTTACAGCAGATGTATGTGGGCAGGTATCAGAATGCGTAGAGATAGTTGTGAAGCAATTATCTGAGTTAAACTAGGGTCAGAACTCAGCTTGAACATACATTTTTCTGTCAGTTTTTAAGTATATAATGTTGTTCTTTCTTTTACAAAGGCTTGTACCAACGACGACAATGCCTGTGAAAACGAGAAGCATTCTGCTTGCACGTAAGAAAGACCACCTCAGTCCATCTCTGCCACATGGATTGTGTGATGGCGCCAGACAGTGCACCTCCCATTTAATGTTCAAGCCAATAAACCAGGGTTCTTATCAGAGATTCAGTGAGCCTATTTCAGTTCCTAAACAGGGGTTCATCCCTCCGCATTTGTTCAACCCCAGACGTGGACTCCCAAGCATGTGTGGAAGCTTCAGGGAGATGGTGGCAACTGTGGCCCTCCCAGGGACACACGTGAATGCACTGTCACACACCTCTCCTCTCAGCCACCTGAGGAAAACTGCCAAGTACAATTAATTCAATGGCCCACAGAACAAGGTGACGAGCAGCAAAACCCACAGTATATGCAAAAACAGACTTCATCCTTAAGTTTGGGAAGTAATTTTGGGCTCAGTTTACAATTTTAATAGAAACCTTTCCACGTAATTTTTTTATTTAAATGAACAAACAGCTAAATTGTTCAACTGTTATTTATTTAGCTATATTGGGAAGGCTAATACATTCAAGAGAAAAATCTCAGCTTAAAAATACTAGTAACGTCACCAGTTGCTATAACCTGCTCTCCCTGACCCCCACTGGTTTATTAGGGCTGCAATCTGGTCACAAGAATATATATCAGGCTCATCCTAGCTTTGATCAATCTAAATCTTGTTCATTTTTTTTTTTTTAAAGATTTTATTTTTAAGTGAGCTCTGTGCCCAACGTGGGGCTCAAACTCAACAACCCCGAGAGATCAAGAGTCACATGCTCCACCAACTGAGCCAGCGAGATGCCCCTTGATGATATTTTTATACCCAGAGAATACTGGGGAAGAAGTTACACACGCTATAGAAGGATTCTTATGATCAAAAACAAATAGGAGAAGTTTATGCTTTCAGTCAAGAATTGTAAAAGACTTGTTTGTACTCTCTTTTGCCAAATCCCCAGCCACTGTCATGCTACTTGAATCTAGACATCTGATTTTCCTTTTTTTTTTCCCTTCTCTTTTTGGTGTCCTTGGGCGGGCACGGATTTTATTTTCTTTTTAACAGGGAAAACACCTTCAAATCTACTTTCACTAACGATTCATCTGATGATAGTTATCATAATCGACTTTGCAGTGCCGGGGGTGTGGAGAGCACCTAACAATGGAGTTTAATACTTACCCAGACCTAGAAAAGGAAAAAATACTTTATAATCACCTCTTTCTTAGAAATCTCAATGACGATAAGAATTATTAGGCTAAAACAAAAACAGCAAATGTACCTGTAATTGCATCATTTTCTCTACTTTAACATTTAAAAAAGCTTTTCATAATATTTAAATGCAATTGAGAAAAGCCCATCAGTTGTGTGAAATAATTCATAATAAAGAGAAAGAGAGAAAAACCTGGAAAATGCTCCAGGTGAACCACTTACCTCTTTAATTTTAGAAGCTAGTTCCTGCCTCTCTTTTGAAACTTTTGCAATTTTTTCATCTAATTCTTGCCTCTGGGAAAAGTGAGAGTGCAATCATTAACGTTAAACTGAGCCATTTTAAAATGCTTTCCCGCTGACTGCCTTGCCTTTCAGGTGGCACTATAATCTATCTGCCCAAGACTCGCTGTTCACCCAGTTCCTTCTCTCTTCCCCAGGAGTCCTGACACCAGGCTGTGCTGCGGCTACGCTACCCCACGGTACTGCTGCCTCGTGCACGCTGTCCGGCCAGGCAGCCTGAAGAGACCCTCCATGGACACGAGCCCTCCCGCGAACAAGGCCCCAGGTAAGAGAGCAGCCACAGAGTCTGAGCAAATGGAAGCTCCGACAGGCCTGCCCTCATGACCACAGTCTCCCCTGCCTCCAGCGCCTGTGTGCCTTATGCACACCCATGCAGCTTATCTAAGCCCTGCTCTTTTGGGCTGAGTTGCCCAATCTGGCCCTAGCCCAGGACCCCCAAAGCACCTCATCCACAGACCCTAACAAAGACGAGCGCCCAGGTCCTGCCTCAGGGTCTGCATTCTGCCTTGACCTCCCTGTGTGGCCCCTGGCGGGACGTGTACTTCCTCCAGGATCTGTGCGTAATAAACGTCTCTATTCAATTTCTCTATGGTCTGGCACCCTGAGCTTCACTTAAGCGTTAATCTGATAAAGCTTAACACTGTACAAGATTCCGTTCTGTCTAGTGTGTCCCATGTGTGCTATTTCTGTCTGCTGGGCAGTTCAACCCCTGGGGCTCATTCCTCCATTAATTTCTGGGTGGTTCAAACAGGTTATTAATCACATCCCAGTCATTCCTCTAGCCACAGTGATGGTCATATAACATAGGCCTGGTAAACTGGCTCACATTCCCTTAAAAACAGGGATTAGACCTGCTTGCACACCCAGGGACTAATCAGACTCCCTCCATGGAACTGATGCATGGATAGCAGGGAAAGCAGCCCCTTCTCGCCCTATGGGTTTCCTTCCTGCCTGCCTGCCTTCCTCCCTTCCTTCCTTTCTTAAAATTTATTTATTTATTTGAGAGAGAGAGAGAGAAAGAGCGTGGGCAGTTGGGGGGGGTGGAGGGGGGAGGCAGAGGGAGAGGTAGAGAAGCAGACTCCCTGGTGAGCATGGAGCCCAACACGGGGCTTGATCTCACAACCCTGAGATCATGACTTGAACCAAAATCAAGAGTTGGATGCTTAACTGACTGAGCCACCTAGGCGCCCCTCCCTTGGGTTTTCTAAGCTGGAGCGGTGGTACCCAGAGATGCTGGCACTTGTCTTCTCCAAGATGAGAAATGTCTGACACACAGAAAAATCAAGGGATGGAGAAATGACATCTGAGCCTCTGGATCCAGCTACACTGGAGTTAATCACTCCCAGAGTTCCTAGGTATCTAAGTCAGTGAATTCCCTTTTTGTCTAACTTGGCTGTAACTTGCAACTGAAAGATATCTAATAAATTCACTACAGCTTTAATACAAGGCAGGCAACAGCAAACTACAGCCTGGGCCAAATTCAGCTCACCATCTGTTTTTATAAATAAAGTTTTATTGGAACACAGCCACATCCATTTGTTTATGTGTTATCTATCACTACTTTTATGCTACAACAGCAGAGCTGAGTAGTTGAAACAGAGACCATATGGCCTGCGAAGTCTAAATTACTTACTACCTTTCCTTTTTAGAAAGTTTTTTAATCCCTAATATAAGGCATACCGCTTTTTTATACATCTTTATACACCAATTATGCTATTCCATAATAAAACATTGGTATCAAATACTCATCACTAGCTTCTGTACTTATCAGCTATTAAAAAATATTCATCAAGACATGTTTAGATACCTGTATTTCCCTTCCTCCTCGGCATAAAGCACGCTGGCGGGAAAGTTCATCAAGTTGATGATCTAGAAATTCCTTTCTTCTATGCATCTCCTGAACATGAGAAGGTAAGTCTTTTTCTTAAAAAAAAAGAATGCTATGATAAGTCTCACAAATATACACATATGCATATGCAATCAGAAGAAAACCTAGTTCTCAAAGCAAGGCTATTTCGAGTGTCTCCAAATTACCTTTAATGCCCAACACATTAACTATCACATAAAAGAAAACAGAAGTAATGTTAGTATGTGCCTTAATGAGTACTTACTCATTCTGTGGTTAACTTGGCTGTCCAAACTGAATTTTAGGACCTCATTATTAATAGACTTTTCTGGACCGAGACGTACTAAATTTATATCTCCACAGTTCCCTGTTGATAAAAAAATCATACTTAGAGATTAATAAGGACACTGCCAATCTCTGCACATAGTACCTATTTCTAAGCGAGCATACTAACAATCAGGGAAGGGAGCCAACATTAACTATCAATCAACTCCACACCTGAAACTACACTAGAGGATTCATACACATTAGATATTCTTCACAACCACCCTGCAGGGTGAGTACTGACCATTTCTACCTAATAAAAGCTACAGAGGCTGCATAAACAGGACATTACAAAGTTGAGATTCAATTATACCAACACTTCTCAAACTATGTTCTGTACAACATTCCATAGTAAAATACATTTGGGAAAGGTGAGTTGAAATAAGATAGATTTCTTAACCACAGGATATATCAGATATGTAAAGACTTTCATATATTAATACATATTTGAATTTCCAAGACAGAATCATATTTTACTATCAAATCCTTTCGTGGAATATTCACAACAAAGTTTTTAAAACTCTACTCCATATCATGCTGCTACTCCAGAATCTAAGGAGCACAAGGTGCTGAAACTGTGGAGTAGATAACTGCAAACAGTGTAAATGTCATTTAAGTGGCTAGCTGTTAACCACACCTTTATTTGCAGTCACCATACTTTATATATTACTTAATCTAAAAATCTCTCACTCCATCATAGGGCTAAATTATAGCAATCAGCACTTACCACAATCTGACACATCACATACTTTTTGTTTACTGTCGATCTCCTTCCACTGAATAGGGTTTCGTTGTACTCACTGGCTATGATAGTGGCTGGCACCGAAGCACAATCAATGTATGCTGAATGAATGAATGACTTACTAAGCAGTAGTCTACAACATATTTTGTTCCTAGTTCAGCTCATTCTTCTAACTTTGAAGCCATCTTCTCTGGCCAACATTTACTTAAAGGTTTCAAAACTGCTAACTTACTTGTGTTTCCACGAGAAAGGTGGATGAAATTACCTGGAAACTCACCTCCTCTAAATACCTAGAAATGCTCCATAAATTAAAACAGACTCCTTGGGCGCCTGAGTGGCTCAGTCGTTAAGCGTCTGCCTTCAGCTCAGGTCATGATCCCAGGGTCCTGGGATCGACCCCACATCAGGCTCCCTGTTTGATGGGAAGCCTGCTTCTCCCTCTCCCACTCCCCCTGCTTGTGTTCCTGCTCTCGCTATCTCTGTCTCTGTCAAATAAATAAAATAAAATAAAATAAAACAGACTCCTTTAAACTGCAGGGTGAGCTCACAGAAATGCAAGAGAAATTCCTAGGGGCCAAAAACAAAGAGAAAGCTCAAAACCAGAGTTGAAAGCCCACAAGGTGCTGAGGCTTCCCTGGGGGAACAGGATGAGTCAGGGTTGGTGCTGTCTAGGTGCTCAGAATTTTTTTTTTACTGAACATTCAATAAAATGCAGATGTTTCAAAATCTTTAGTTGTACAGTTTGACAAATGTCTACACTGGCAAAACTACCATTCCAGTGAAGACATAGAACTTTATAATGGAGGCTTGGATTTTAAAGCCCACTGGATGGGGCGCCTGGATGGCTCAGTCATTAAGCATCTGCCTTTGGCTCAGGTCATGATCCCAGGGTCCTGGGATCGCGCCCCGCAGCGGGCTCCCTGCTCCGCGGGAAGCCTGCTTCTCCCTCTCTCACTCCCCCTGCTTGTGTTCACGCTTTCTCTGTGTCTCTCTCTGTGAAATAAATAAAAATAAAATCTTTAAAAAATAAATAAATAAAACCCACTGGAAAGGAAGAGGGCCTGAAAGAGGTGGGAGGATGAAAAGGAAATGAATCTAACTGCGCCTGGGCTTAGCTGGGAAAAACCAAAATCTCTTCCAGGACTTTCAAAACATAGGCTCATACCACATGTGGATTTAGGGACTAAATATATAATTCAGGGAATGACAAAGGTGACCCAATCAAAATAGAGTTGAGAGTTTTAAAATGAGAATACAATGAGCAACTTTATACCAATATATTTAAAAATTAAGAGGAAATGTTGATTTTTCTTGAAAAAATACAAATTAGCCAAACTCACTAAAATACAGAAACCTGAATAGACCTATTAACAGCTAAGACATTCGGACAGATTAAAACTTACCCATCTGTCAATAAACAAAACAACACTAAAAACAAATTAATCTTCAAGGAATAGATAATCTCTGTCATATATAAAACATTCCAAAGAATTAACAAAAAATTATCCCCAATTACATTTTTAAAGTCAGTGTAATGATACCCAAACATAGACAGGACAAAGAAAAATCACAGGCTGGCTTCATTCATGAGTACTAATTTTAAAATGCTAAATTAAACATTAGCAATCTAGCAACGTGTTAAAAAATAATAATACATGACCAAGTTGGCCTTATTCTAGGAATCAAAGATATTTTAGTATTAGAAAAACACTGTACTTTACCCCACTAACAGATTAAAGAAAAAAGTTTCATTACCATTTCAACAGATGCAACAAAATGCATGCAATAAAATTCAACAGCCCTTCATGACAAAAACTAATGACAAAGGACCAGGACAGCTGCAAGTAGTGGAAGAAGTGACAATGAATGCAGTATAAAAGACCAAAGTTCTCTTCTACAGCCAGAAGATATCATTTTTTCTCTAACAAATTGGAAGATCCAACCTGGATGCCTGGCTGGCCCTGTCCTGATCCCGGCCCAGCTGCACGGTCAGCACACGCCTGAGAGTGCTCACCTTCCCTCAGCCAGCCAGGGAAAGGCACGTTAAAACCACACCACTGCGTATGCATTGGAGCTGCTCCTGGACGTGTAAACTGCTACACCCACGTGTGAGGACAATTTGGCACTATCTAGAAAACCGAAGATGCACAAATCCTTCAACCCAACATTTTCACTTCAAGGTCTACCTATGGTAGACCAGTGTTTTTATAAACTCTTGACCTTTCATATGAGGTACACCTGACCATCAAAACCCAATACAGAACTCACACACCTCCCCCAGGAAACAAACACAGTCCCTGCGTACCCTCATGGCCTGAATCTCACTGGAGAGAGCGCAGCAAACGTAATGCCTAAACCCTCGCCTTCGTGGGGCTTATGATATTCCAGATATACTGCACGGAGGTTCTCTCGCCTCTGGTCCCTGTTACTGAGAGTAACTTCTGCTAGAGCTCCCCATACCCACCAATCCTTTCCCACGGCTAACTCCTAACTACTCTCCAGGTTTCATCTTAGACATCATTTCCCCCAGGAGCCTTCCTTAACGCTCCACAACTGAACCAAGGGCCGCTCTAAGGTGTCTGAAAGTAGCCACATCTTACTGCTCTTACAGAATGTCCAGATTTATACTCTAACTGCCCAGTGATCCACTTCCTCATTATCATCTCCTGGAAGGTTTCACTGCTGAAACCTCAGTACTTAGCACAGGGCCTTGGCACAGGCTCAATAAATGCTCAATAAAACTTGCTAAATGAATTGATGAGTACGTATGGGCCACAGCCCCAAGCAGAAGTTATTACCAAAACTGGCTTATTCTTTGGCATTCAAAGCTGCCCACACTAAACACAGAACAAAACCAAAAACAAATTAAAAGCCATATAAGTATCATACCCAAAGGATTCTTCTTGTCTTTACATTTTTCTTTAAATTCAAGGATGATTTTTTTCATAAGTTCATCAACAGCTGCGTTGGAAGGCGCACACACAAGGACACGGTTTTGTTTGATTTTGGCATTGGAGTTTTCATCTGAATGCCCCTTCCTCTGGTTCTACAATTTGACACACACACGCCAAACAAACAGACAAACAAAAAATACTGATGAGCTCTATTACAGAGTTTTCCAGTTTTTCTCTACTTCCGTGTATGTTTGAAAGTTCCCCTTATAAATACTTAAAAGTAACAGCAACTACATCTTACATTGACATTAAAATGACTCTAGCAGGACATTTTATCATAGCTTCCCTGAGCCTCACCTCACTATCCAGTTATTTTACTCCATACTCAATCCAACCAAAATGTAGCCCAGGAATACATTCCAGACAGTTTCTTGGCATTAGACGTGACAAGACCACCATTCTAGCCCTTCAGCTTAGTGTCACACAGGACATTTTCTGCTCTTTTTACTTTTTATACCCTTGTCTCCTTCTGCTACCTCTTTCTCAGATACAGTTCCACACAGTATCAAAAAGATACACAAAAGTGCAGGGAGGAAGACCTGTAGTAGTCATTTACGTATGTCAGTTAACTCATGTGGAACAATGTGCTCGGCTCCCAGCACGGACGCCCTCACATACTCTACCTCTGTCAGGAGGCGGTACAGGAGGCCAACAATAGTTTTTGATTTTCCTGTTCCAGGTGGTCCATGAATCAGACAGATCTTGGCAACTGACGGGGAGTGTTTGACCATGGCATATGCAGTTTCTATCGCTTTCTTTTGGTCTTCGTTGAAATCTCTTAAGTAGGCGATCTATGCAAAAGACATTAGTGAGAATGAGTTGCTCTTCCTGGAGTGGCACAGGAGAGGAAGAAGAGAAAACCATTTGAATTTCTTCTAACCTTTATCAGACAGAAGCTTTGGTTATGATCAGGAAAGACCCCAACATGACCTTTAATCTACAGAACCAATTTCGCTACTATGAAGTTATTTATGAGCGTCTGTAGGCTTCAGCCCACCTACAACTACAACAACTGCATTTTTATTTGTGATTCTTACAAAGAGGATCACAATAAATTGTTCAGTACTTTTCTTCTATTTATTCTTTCCATAGATAGTACAAAAACGTTCTAAGATTTTCTTTCCTAACATTCCGGATTTTGGATCAGATCTAAGTTTAAACCTCAGCTTCACTCACAAGCTAGGTCTCTAAACTCCTAACCTCTCTGAGTCTATGCCTTTGTCATCCATTAAATCTGGGATTCCGGAGAGGACGAGAAGTGAATGAGATACTGCACAGAAAGCCCCCACACAGCAGCGGTCCAAACACTGTTACTTTTCTCTTGCCTTCCTCAGTATTAATCTCCTGGAATGAATATATATAGCTCTTACAGCGAGAACATACATGCTCATGCAAAATGGCAACTTTACCTGTCAATTCTCCATCGATCTTTCAAATGCAAAATTAACTCTATTAACCTACTCCTACCTCTGAATTTTAATCACCTAACAAGCATTTAAGTAGGATGCTCATCTAACATTTTAATGCTCCTCTTTAAGCATATTTTCAATTCTTTATTGCACTACACTTTTTTCCTGAGGTAAGCTGAGTAACATAACAAAGCGCCACACATCCTCACTGTGCACATACGGGGATACAGCTTTGTCCCAGACATACAGGAATGTGCAATGAATAAACACGACATGATGCTGTCACATTCTGACACGAAATGTTCAGACTTTTCGTTCCCGTTTAACCATGACTCACAATTCTCTCAGATGTTGTAGTTAGTAAATCTTTTGTACAGAAGTCCATGGGGTTTGGATTCAGAACAGCTCTGGCCAGTTGGTTCCGTCCACTCAACAAAGACATGGCTTTCAACTTCCTTTGTGTAGTTACCAGAGAACTGATTACAACGCATTTCACGAGTTCATTTAAATTGACTGGCAAATTATCTTGAGTCTGGATGGAAAGGGAACACTCAGATTTCCCATTGCGCACTATTACCAAGAAGGAGAAAAAGCAATTTCAGTTGCCAGGGAATAATGTTGTCCAGCTAAAAAGGTTATTCAGAATTATGTATTTTCTAACTTATGTTTTTTGTATGATATTGTTCAAGTAATTCACTCAAATGTTTACTGAATGCTTCCAAAGAACCAGGCAATTCCTTTCAAGAAAAGGGAAGCAGATAACCAAATAAACACGTCAGGTGGTGATGAGCACCATGAAGCAAGCAGAGAAAGGGGATGAAGAAATCATGAGGGATGGGAGGGAGCTGTTACCGTCACAGGCAAGTCAGGGAAGGTCTTCCTGATAAGATGGTATCTTAGTAGATACTTGAAATAAATGAGTAGGCCACGCCCTTATCTGAGGAAAGGGTGCTACCGGCAAAGAATCCACAATTGCAAAGACCATGAAGCAAAGATGTGACTGGAGTATTTCAGGAACAGGGACAAGCCTAGTATGGCTGGAAGGAAAAGTAGAGAGACAAGTGCTGCGAAGACTCAGAGGAGAAAACGGGGCTCCATTTTATAGGGCTCTGCAGACCACAATACGGACTTTGAACCTTATTCCAAGTCAGGTAGAAAGCCACAGGGCAGCTTTGTACTGGGAAGTGACATGCTTAAACTTAGACATTAAAAGAATCGCTCTTCCTGCAGATGGAGAATAAACAGCAATGGGAAAAGTACAGAAGCAAACAGGCCACCAGGAAGCCACTGCAGCTGATGGTTGTGTGGACCAGGATGTAGTAAGCAGACGTGGGGCTTGGATTCTGGATACTTTGCAAAGAAAGAGTCAACAGGATTTGCTGATGAATTACATGCAGGATGTGAGACAAAGAAAGGATCAAGGATGACTGGGGTTTTGGGCCTGAGCAACTAGAAAAAGGCAGGCCCCACTTGCTGAGATGGGAAAAACAGAAGGAATAGTAGATGTCAGGTAGAAAATCAAGCGCTTCCTTTGGTCTTTTTGTCTAACATACTTGCAAATGGAGATGTCAGATAGTTGGATGCTTGAGGAGCTGGAAGGAGAATACCTTAGAAATATAAATTTGGCACATGTCATCATTTGCAAGAGTCAAAAGCACAGATTAAGCTATGTACCCCTCCTGCTACGCCCCTAAATGCACTCTACAGGAAGAACTGGGCTGGACCACACTTATTTTTTTTTTTTTTTAAAGATTTTATTTATTTATTTGACAGAGAGAGACACAGCGAGAGAGGGAACACAAGCAGGGG